GGTCCCCTGCCAAACATCAAAAGCACTTTTCATGCAGAGCAGTTCAACAAAACTGACAGTGTGAAGTGAGGGAGGCCACAGATGAATGAGAATGGCACCAGATCTAAAACCCACTCGGAGCTGTTGAATTCCCCCCAAGGAAGCAGGGGGAAGCTGCTTCTGCTTATTCTGGTTCATTTGGTTCTGTTCTTTGGCTTTTTTCCTAAAATCTGCATTTTCTTTAAGGCAAAGCTGCAGAAATTGGAGGTGGTGCTGAGCAATTCCTCTGCTCCCCTTCTCCTCAGGCTCATTTGGTTTGTTTATTGTTATCTCCTGAGCTGCTGTCAGCTCGAAGGGAGCAAAGGCTTTGTCAGCTTTTAATTTCCTCACATGGACACCCCTCTTCCAAAACCACAAAAAGCAGCTTGGATTTTAGGGACAGAAATGGCAGAAAGGAGCAGTCGTTGTGTTCTGTAACATTCTCCCTCATAATCCCCTCATTCCTCACCAGCCCCTGCAGACTATTTTTCCTCATGCTATTTGATTGGGAAAAAAATCTCAAAACTATTCCTAGTCACTTGAGAAAATAGCTGGCTGTGTATTTTGGGCATTGATGTAAAAGTGATGTACATTTTCCATCTCTCCACTAACCCCACCCTCATCCCAGAGCCACCCGAGGGTTGCTGCCTCTGTCCTTTCTTCCTCTGCTCTTTGTGGGACATCCTGAAATTTTTATTTCTCTTAGGGCTGCTGGTACCACTTGGAAAGCTCCATTAACAGAGGATTTTTCTCCCTTGTGCCCAAGGATTTTTTTCCCTTGGAATTTCTGTCCCCTTCAAGCCCTTTTAGTCTTGGTTTGGTGAGTGCAGCCTCTGCACCAAGGGAGTTTCACACACTTCTGCAGAAGGATCATGAAACTGAAACCTGCTGGGGTTTTGTGCATCAGGGAGGTGCAGAGCCCCAAGAAATGGCCCAGACAGAGGCTGGGGGTGATCAGTGGGGTCTTTTCTGTCTGTGATTTTAACCTAGAAAATTCCTTCCCTATCTGAAGGAGAGAACATTTGAAATTAGCAAATGGAAAGCTGTGGGAAATGCAGGAAGGTCTTTGGAGTCAGGAGGAGATTGTGCTAATACCAAACTTTGAATTCTTCATTAATACAGGATTAGGTACTGAAAAATCTCAGTTTGAAAAGAACATGAGCAATCTGCACTTCTGTGTCCCTTTAGACACTGCAGCTCCCACTCTGAGCAGGGACGCTGGAGATGCTCAGAGGCTCCTGCATTGCACTGACCCTGCTTGAAGGTCACTCCCCACTCCCTGCTGGGATGGGCCAACCAGGGCTGCCACAATATGCCTGAAATATCATTTCAAACATCCTCCTTCCTCCTGCTGTTGCCTCCTGGAATAAAGCTGCAGTTAGTCAGTCCTGTCCTCCAGGGACACGAGGTGCCAGCGCAGGGAAGGTGATTTACGGAAGGCAGATGAGAAAGGTTGAATAAATGTCTCATTTAGGGTCTGATTGTGCTATTGTTATTCACAAAGAATCATTGCTTATTCCCACCAGGACCTACTCTTGGATTAGCCTTGGCCTTAGCAGCAAAGGCCTTAAAAAGTCATTTTTGGCAGGAGAGCCCCTCTGCAGTGCGGCAGGGCCGGACTCTGCTCAGGGCCAGGAGGAGCCGGGGCTCTCACAGCTCCCTGGGAGCCCCTGCACGGGCTGCCACCTCCACAGCAGAGCACCTCCAACATTCCAGGGGGAAATGAGAGGAGCTGATCAAGCTGAGAGTGCTCCTGAGTCATTGCTGCAGGTGCTAAACCATATCTGACTGCTCCTGTCAAATGATTGCTCCCATCCTCTCTCACCCGAAAATCCATCTCTGCTGGGACGGATGCTGGGAACTCAGCTCCTCATTACCCTCAGATGCCTCTGCATTCAGTCAAGAGGGAAACATTTCTTCTTTTTTCCCCTCTGAGCATGAAACTGGGGGAGTTTCTGAAGCAGCAAAGGCTGTGGCAGCAGCTCTCACAGAGCCCAGCCAGGCACCCCCTCCATGGCTCTCCTGAAGCAAGGAAGCTGTGAAATCTCAGGGAGGTGCAAAGCCCACCTTGCAGGTTCATCAAGGCCAGTGCTAATTGAGCTCATGGACCTGGAGCTTGGAGCCGAGAGGAGAGGGAATGACCTCAGGATAGGCTCAGGGTGGACACCAGCAGGAATTTCCCCATGGAAAGGGGGCTCAGGCACTGGAACTGCCCAGGGAGGGTTGGATCCCCATCCCTGGAGTGTCCCAGGAAGGGCTGGAGGTGGCACTCAGTGCTCTGTGCTGGCGACAAAGCATAGCTGGGACTCTTCCAACCCCAGTCATTCTGGGATTCTGGGATTCAGCAAAAACAAAGAGGAGCCTTCAACAAGCAAGAATCCCTGGGCATGAGGCCAGGAAAATGTGTGTGTGATCCCCGTGCCATCCCTGCTGCAGGGCACAGAGCCAGCCCTGGCTCACTCTGGGACACTGTGCTGGGACACCCCAGGTGTGCTGGGAGACCTTTGCTGGGGACAGCCTTGGGTTGCTGCTGAAATCCTGGGGGGGAAATTTGGAAGAGATTCCTGCAGGACTTGACAGCTCTTTTATAGAATTGAGTCAGCCCTGTGGGGTCTCCCTCGGTGGGGATGTTCCAGAGCAGAGGGACACAATCCTGTCCCTGAGCTCTGGGATGTTCCAGAGCAGATGGACACAATCCTGTCCCTGAGCTCTGGGATGTTCCAGAGCAGACGGACACAATCCTGTCCCTGAGCTCTGGGATGTTCCAGAGCAGACGGACACAATCCTGTCCCTGAGCTCTGGGATGTTCCAGAGCAGATGGACACAATCCTGTCCCTGAGCTCTGGGATGTTCCAGAGCAGGTGGACACAATTCTGAACTCTGGGATGTTCCAGAGCAGAGGGACACAATCCTGTCCCTGAGCTCTGGGATGTTCCAGAGCAGAGGGACACAATCCTGTCCCTGAGTTCTGGGATGTTCCAGAGGAGATGGACACCATCCTGAGCTCTGGGAGGTTCCAGAGCAGAGGGACACAATCCTGTCCCTGAGCTCTGGGATGTTCCAGAGGAGGTGGACACAATCCTGTCCCTGAGCTCTGGGATGTTCCAGAGCAGAGGGACACAATCCTGAGCTCTGGGAGGTTCCAGAGCAGAGGGACACAATCCTGAGCTCTGGAATGTTCCAGAGCAGAGGGACACAATCCTGTCCCTGAGCTCTGGGATGGCTCTGCTGGAACCTGTGGGTCTCTCCCAGCCTGAGCCATCCTGGCATTCTGGGGTAGAGAGACTGAACTCCAAAATATTTTGGCTAATTGAGCAGGAAGGGCTCGAGAGAGACAGGGACCAAATTCCTAGTCAGGTGCTGAAAGGCTTTTCAATTTATCTCAGACTTTAAAAACCCAGCCAAACAACAAGGGAGTGTTTATAGAGAGGTTTCTTTGTTTCCTCTGCTGCTGCTCTGCTGTGACTTAAGAAGTTTTAATCTCAGCTGTTCAGTGCTCTCAGAGCCAGACAGCACCAGCCCATTCCCATGGAGATTCTCGTGCCTGGAGTGTGGAGCCAGTCCAAGCCTGGCAGGAACACGGAAGGACTCACAAAGACTCAGAGAAATCCCAGGTTATTGGATTTGCGAACTCATTGCACTTTCATTTGCTAATTAACAAGCTCGAGGGAAGGAAGAAAAGCCACCACCAGTTAAGATTCTGACCCCCTGCTGCTGCCCTGCTGCTCTTGTTTGCTGTTTATTGGATATAAGCCCAATTTCTCCGTGGTTGCTGAGCTGAATTTTGGAGTTTTGGGTCAAATTCTTTGAGCAGGGCCCATTCTGAGTTATCCATCCTGCAAAACCCTTCGTGCAGGGCTGCAAAGCTGTCACTAAACATGGAATTAAACATTTCCTTCAGTCACACTGCACCAACCACTGCACATTCCCCTGCCAGGAAGCAACTTCTGCTTTCCTGGAGATGGGATGCCCAAGGAACCTCGGTGGAGGCCAAAGAACCCTGGAACCATTCCTCAGGGAGAAAAAATCAGCTGATGTGCAGCTCAGAACAGCACTCAGGTCACAATTAAGAATCTTTGTGTATTAATGAGGGAATTGTAGCCCTGTTGGCATTCAGAGCTAACTGGCTCCAAGTGAACTCTGTTCCTTCCAAGCTGAGCCTTTGCTAAGCAGCACAAAACAGGCAGGAGGTGCTTTTTGTTCCTTTTCTCCCCACAACTGCTCCCTGAAATCTGCCTGAGCCATCTGGACTTGTGTTTCCAAAGTGCCCCTTCAGAGGAACACTCAAGCAGGTTTTGTTTTTCCAAATCCACCAGAGCTCATCCAAAAGAACAAATAAATATGCAAGGAGGAAGCTGGACTGCACATCAGAGCAGCTCTGCTCTCTGGGAAATCCCACCCAAGGACCAGAACGGCTCTTGGAAGGATAAATCTCCCTCAGAGCTCCCTGCCAATAAAATTAGATGTGAGTTACTGATGGACTGAGTCACTGAGCAGACTGAGGGCTTGAAATGTTTTCCTGTTCTTAGATGGAAAATGCTTTATAAATTCAGAATATTTTTTACTTAGGTGACAGAATATGTTTCCATAACACTTGAAATGAAAGCTGACAATGGGTTGATAGAGAAATACAAGATTTTGTTTGAAACTCAGATTAATTTCACTTCCTGGAGTGGGAAACTGCAAAGCCTTGATTTCCAAAGCTCCGATTCCTTGTAAAAATCCCAAGATCCATTAACAGCTTGCAAGCTGTGCAGATCCTGTTGGAACAGCTGGGATCAGCCCCTGAGCTCCTGAGCATTCTCAGTAAAACTTGGGGCTTTCAAAAAGGCTCTGAATAATGGCAGTGGTAAATACTTTACAGTATATATATATATATATATACAGTATATATATATATATATATATATATAAATAATAACAGGGCTGAAATAAGTGGCCATTTCTGGAAGGAGCCCCCAGCACCTTTTTGGAGTGGTGAGCTCTGGAGTGGAGCAGTTTGGGACAGGGAACAGGAGGAGCTTCAAGCCCTGGATGTGCAAAGGCAAAGCCAAGAGAGATTTTGGCAGCAGCCTCTGGATTTGTGTGGAAAAGGCTTCCAGGGAGAAGGTCTGGAGCAAATCCTCCAGGATTCTTTGTCTGGGGATGGTTCTGGTTGCATTTCTGGCTCTTACTGACAAGAAATAAAATCAGGCAACAACCAAAATCAGGTGCAGCAAGCACCTTCCTGGGGTTTGGGTGCTGCCAAAAGCCCTCCTGATAAAATGAGGCACGTCCAGGGCATTTGGCCTGGTGCTCCAAGCCCTGTGGTGCTGCTGAGATCTTCCTTTGCTTGGCCTCCTCTGGTGCCTGAGGTTTCCTGGAGGTTCCCATGGCACTGGGAAGAGCTGCAAACACAGCTGGAGCAGTCCCTTCCCTGCACACTCAGGATTTCCTGTAATGATGGCATTTTAGGTTCCTTCCAACCCAAACCGTTCCCTGCTCTGTGATATGGAACAGTTGGGTACAAAAATGGCTTTTTGAAGCCCACTTTGGCCACGATGGAAAACAGGATATTTCACTCCTTTTCCCCCCATCCCTTCCATTTCCAAATGTTCTTAACATGTACTTATTTCTTGAGTTCTAACTCTGTAAAATGCCTCAACAGATGAAAATTAGACACAGGTTAATGAGACAAGCCAGAGCCAAGGAATTCTAGAGCCAATACAGACATCAGTGTCTACTTACTGCAGCCAGGAGGCATTTTCTTGTTTCCCTCTGATGTATTGAGGGCTTTTTCCCCTGATCACAATTGAGGGTAGAATCTGTTAGATTGAAATTAGAATATATTAGCTTGCAGCACCCCTCAGTTTATTGTCAGGATGAGATTGTTAAGCAGTGATTCAGATTGATGGGTTTGCAGCAGAACCTGCTGCACAAAGGAGAGGCAGAGGGAAAATAAGAAACAATTTTAAAGGGAAAGCATTTCTCCTCAGCAGCTCAGCAAACAACAGAGAAATTATTTAAACCATTCCTTAATCTGGAATTTATATTCCCTCCTAGGGCTATTAAGAAAAAATGACAAGAAGGATTTTAAAGGACAAGAATTGATTTTAGCTCCTACAGTTTGCCTTTAGGATGTGCCCTTCCCACAGCACACACTCAGGATTCAGACAGACACTGCCCTGAGATAAACATTTCTGGAAGGGGATTTAGCCAAGGTTTCTTCCAGTGCTCAGCTGAGTTTCTGTTTCTCCTCCCAGTGATTTTAACAGTTTAAATGTGGCTCTTCCCATTGAAAATGCTGATTTAAGTAAAACCTAAAAACTTCTGTAAAGTTAGGAAATCTATCCTTGCATGTCTCAGTGTGGGTTAAAAATCCATTTTCAGATGATTTTGGGTTTTAAAGCCAGTTTAAATCTGTTTCAATAGAAAAGATTGATCTAGACAGATCTAGAACACCAGCAGCTTTGCTTACAGGCAAGCAGCACATCAGGGGTTTGTCCATCCAGTTGTTCCCTCTCATCCCACCTCTCCATCCCCAGGAACTCGCTCACTCCTTGTTAATGAGCTGCAGGAGAAGGAAAAATCAGCCAAACAATAAACATCTGGACTGCTCATGGCCTCAGCAATTCTCACTCGAATCAGCCACTAACAGTTCCCAGAAGAATAAGATTTACAATGTTTTTCTTCCTAATGGTTTTCTTCTTTTCCATCTAAAACTTGTGTTCATGGATTAAAGCCTAATAAATAAATTCTCCTGGAAGTGATGATTAATCAGTTATGAGTTACTCAGATCTTTTGGCTGAGCAACGTTTGCTGAAGGGAAAGGGCTCAAAATCCTGTGTCTGAGCTGAGCTCTGCTGCTGACCTGCTTTTTGGCAGAACCCCCATGTAGGTTAAATTCTGCAGGAAAGCTGCAGAGCTCAGGGAACCACAGAAAAATGGAATGATCAGGTTGGAAAAGCCCTCCAGGATCACTGAGCCCCAGCTGTGCCCGATGCCCACCTTGTCCCCAGCCCAGGGCACCAAGTGCCACCTCCAGGAGCTGCTTGGGCCCCTCCAGGGGTGAGGATCCAACCCTCCTGATCTGTTTTACAGGATAAACTCTGAGAATTTTCCATTCAGGAGTCAGAGTAGTTCCATATTTTCTGCTTGGAGACGTTTTGCTGCTGTACAGCTAAATATATCCACTGAACACAGGAATTACTTTGAACAACAGAAACATTTAATCACTTCAATGATAAAAATGCACTTTTCTGTCACTCTCCTCACTGCACAGAAATTAGAGTTGGGGAGAACTTCAAAGCCAAGAGTTTCTCTCCTTTACAAATGAAGTCTCTTGGCCTTGCAAGACTTTTCCCTGCATTTTATTTACTGCTGGTTTATCCCAAAGGAGACAAAGGTGACATAAATTACAGAGTCCCAGCACTTAGTCTGGAGGATAATTGGTGAAGTCTCCTCTGTCAGGAAGATTTTCCCAGCCCTGTCACCAAAATGTCTGTGGGATTAGTCATCAATCATTAATCATTAATCAGCACAGCAAATACCAGAAATAGAAACACACCAAGCTTTGCTCCTTTTTTCACTCTTCCTGTTGGTAATGCCAAGTAATTGACATTAAACTACTTGACAGAACTGATTGTTGGGGTTGTTATGGATCAGTGCTCCCAGTGTTCCCAGTGCCCCCAGTGCTCCCAGTCCCTCCTAGTGTTCCCAGTGCTCCCAGTGCCCCCAATGTTCCCAGTGTTCCCAGTGCTCCCAGTGTTCCCAGTGCCCCCAGTCCCTCCCAGTGCTCCCAGGGTTCCCAGTCCCTCCCAGATCTAAGGCAAATCCTGGCTCTCTCAGAAGTGAATTCCAGAGTTCCCATCCCACTGCTTTTCCAGGTTCCCAGAAGCTTTTATGGTTTTTTTGACACCCTGGGACACCTTCCACAATCCCAGGGTGCTCCAAGCCCATCCAGCCTGGCCTTGGACACCTCCAGGGATGGAGAACGCTCTTATTCAAATAAATGCAAATCAGTGCTCATTTGGTTTGCAAATCTCAGCCAGGGACCCTCCCACAGCTCCCCAGTTCCTGTGGGTTTGATCTCAGGAGCTGCTCCATCTTTTTCCTGGCTGCCCTGGGGAGGTGGTTGAGCTGGGCAGGAGCAATCTGGAATTCTGCAGGAGAAATCCTGCTCTGCCTCCAGGCCCTGTCAGGGGCCATTCCCAGCTCTGCCCCAACACTCCCAGTGCTGCCAGTCTGTGCCCCAGGGTTTGGGAATGGGACAATGCTGGACTTTCCCTGTGAATTTCATACATAAATATTTTAAAAATATAAAAATATTTTAAATAATAAAATAAAAAAATATAATATACAAAATATATACTAATATATAAAATAATATATATAACATATATATTATTTTATATATAGTATATATTTATATTTATATAAAGAGAAAGCTGCACCATAGTATATATTATATAATATATTATATTATACATATATTATATATAATTATATAATATATATTATGATCATATTATACAATATCTTTTTATAAATATAAAAAATTGTATTTATATAAATATTAAAAATATAGAAAATAAAAATAGAAAAATATATTTCAAATATTTTAAAATATATTTGGGGGGCTGTGCCCTCCACCATCACCACAGGAATTCCATCAGTGCCAGTTTGAGCAGTCCCAGGCCAAAGCAGTGAAAGGCAGAGCCCAGAGCCCCCAGTAAAAGGAGCTGACTGGTTCCATTCGTGGGGCTGGGCTGGGCTCCTGGTGCCCCCGGGAGCCTCGTCCCAGCCTGCCCAGCCCAGCACCCCTGGGGCTGGCATGCAGAGCTCTGCTGGTCACTGCTCTGGCACCTGCAGGGCACAGGTGGTGCCACCCTGAGAGCCCTGGGCTGGCTGAGCTCCCTCTGAGAGTCCATAAAATGCCAGCAGAACAGCTCAGCCCCAGGCTGGCACTGCAATCTCATGCACTCCCCGAAATGATCTCCTTTAAAGGTGCATATTCCCCCTGCTAATTGAAGAGCAGGCGCTGGCAATAAACAGGTAATTGGTTCTGGCTGTAAATGATTTATTGGGCATTGTGAGAAACAGCAGAGCTCTTGCTGCTCTCAGCCCACGGCTCCCCTCACCCTGTGCTCCTGCCTGGAGAATTGGCCTTGCTTGCAAATCTGTTTGGGTTGTGCAAGATTATCTGTTAGTGCTGGGAGATGAAATGCCATCAAATGAGAGGTGCTTTCAGGAACTCCTGAAAGTGCAGCTGGAAACACCAGACGCTGCCTTGAAGGGAAAGTCTGGAATTTCAGGATTTTTATTGATCCTAAAAGCTTCCCCATGGTTTCAAGTGAAGTGTTGTGACTCAGCAAAGGATTCACCCCACATGAATCCTCCAGATTGTGTTACCTGGATCCAGGTGAGCCACAGAGCAGCTACAAACACGCAGAGCAGGAGTGCTCCCTCAAACTGCCCCCCGTGTGTGAGCTGCTGCTCTCAGCTGCACCACTCTGTGCTCTCTTCAGGAACAGGAGGGATGAAAGTGGATCCTGGCTCCAGAATGCTCCCAGGAAATGTCTCTGCAGCTGGGGAGCTGAGCATTGTCTGCTGCTCTTTCAGAGACACTCCAGCTCTGGAGAAAGGCATGTTGATTTAGGAGGGGAAAGAAAGGGGGAAATATATTTAGAGGATTACCCAGGGCCTTTTCCACTCATCTTCCTGTGTGTTTTCGTGAGATCCAGTCAAGGACTGGGAACCAGGGCACAGGGTGACAGGAGGGGCCCAGAGGGAAACATCCCAGAGGAGACTGAGAGTCTGCACTGGGCAATATCCCATAAATACCCTCTGCCACAGAAACCCCAGTGACCACCCCGACCTGAGGGAGCCACAGGATGTCTGAACATGTTCTCCCACGTGCTGCCTGCCCACGACTCTCCAGAGCAGTTTTCCAGCTGTTCTGACCCTTTCCTGTTGTGCAACTCCAGCTGAAAGATCAGGAATTCTTGTCAGGGGAGAGCAGAAAGTCCCAGAGGCTGTGAGGAACTGGGAATTCTGGGCACAGCACCCACAAGTCCCCATGCTGGTGGAGCTTTCCTGGTTTCTCACCCAATAAAGAGTATTTTCAGCTGAATTATTTCATGAGAAACAGGAGAACAAATGTGCCACCTGCCCGGGAAGCAGATGGATTTGGTGACAGTCCTGCAGCTGGAAAGGAGAGTCCTGGAACCCAACATTTCTGCAGTTGTTCCAATTATTTATTGAAAACTGCAAGCTTGCACCTGGAAAATCACCAAAGCTGCAACACAACTTCATCACCAAACTACCTTTTTTCCCTCTCATTTTTAGAATATGTTTAAGGATTTGGATCAACCCAGGGAATGAAATCCTTTTGTGTCTCCCAAAGGACGGAGCAGCAGTTCCCAAGGCACATCTGCACCCCCAGGGAATAAAATGCTGTGTTTATCCTGGGGGCTGATGCCCACAGAGCCTCCTTCCTGCCCTCTGGTATCCCCAAAAGAGGCACTAACTGGGGTTATTTTGCATGGGCTGAATCACACAACTCAAATCATCTCTTCTTTCTCTGCCAGCTTGAGAAAAAACCCCAAGGCCATCTATCCCTAACCACTGTGATTATAATGCAGTTCCAAATTAGTGCATCAAAAGCCAATAAAAGGACATGAACAAGACAGACTGCCAGCCCAGAAAACCATAAATCCATGAAAAATAGCTCTGCTCAACAGCTGGCCAGGTTTAATTTTCAAATAAACAGGAGAACATGTCACCTCTTGTTCTGCTTAGCATTGATTTAATGCTTGAATTTTCATTTAAATCATTTCATTTCCAGAACTTTTAGGTCCGTCAGAGCTCAAGCAATCCTGGGGCTCAGCTCATCCAGGGATTGATCTGGGGCCACTCTACAAAACAGATTAATTGAGATTGATTGATTGATTGATTGATTGGGCCCTGCCTGCTGCACACACTAATTCTGGATCATTTAAAGCTCATAAGGCTTTCTGTTGGGATTCATTGATTCCACAGGGTAATGAAATCATGACTGGGTGCTCAGCCAGGAGCAGAGGACTGATGGAAGGAAGGGGAGACTGAAATCAGCTCAGAGTGGGAAGTGAGGAGCTGCAATGCCCTGTTCCTGCTGGGATTGTCCCCAGCTGCCCCTTCCTTCCCGTGGTAAAATGTGGGAACTGTCTCGAGTTTGTGGCTTGGCAGCATTTGCATCTTACAAATGACATAAAACATGAAATAACAACCACAAAATAACAACTATAAACCAACCACAAAATAACAAGCATGAGATAAGAGCCACTCTCTCCTCAGCATTCCCCAGGACTTGTCAGGATCTGGATGTTGGTGAATAACCCCAGTTCCATAACAAACAGGTGAATCTGGAATATCAGCCCTGGATGTGTGAAGTTTGGGAAAGCATCCAGCTCTCTCTGCTGGAATTTATGGAATTATTTTGAATTATTTCAGGGACCCTGCACCAAAGGCTCTCCCACACTCAGGGTGGGGGTCAGGGTTGGTTT